ATAATGTTTCTATCCCTGGTTATTTTTTTGTACATAATCTGCTTACCTGGTATTAACATAGTTACTCCTGCTTTCTTTTGATGAATATTTGTATATCTTTCTCAATCTTTTTACTTTTAAACACCCATATTGTTATATCTTAAGTAAGTTTCTTATAGATAGTATATACATAGATCACAAATTTTCATCCACTGTACCATTCTCTGTTTTAATTGGACTATGTAGACCATTTGCATTTAATGTAATTATTATATTAGGGCTCAAGTCTGCCATGTAAATTTTTGTTTTCTCCTTGTTTTCTCTTTTTCATTTATCTGTTAACTTTTTTCTGCTTTCCTGTGGGTTACTTGAAAATTTTTTTAGAATTCCATTTGGATTTATTTATGGTTTTGTTTAGTGTATCACTTTGTATAGCTTTTTAATAAATATATATATATATATATATATATATATATATATATCTTATATAATCTACTGGTATGAACTGTTTACTATCCCTTTACATTCATTTACCTTTCACACTTAACATCTTACATATTTTCTTTACATACATTAAATGTTATTTTAATTCAAACATAACTTAGAAAACTGAAAAGGAGGATGAAAATTATTGTATTTACCCATATTTTTACTGTTTCTCTTGTTTTTTCTTCTTTCCTGTTGTTTTAATTTTTTTCTTTTATGATTTTCTTTCTGTTTAGAGAATTTTCTTTAGCCATTATTGTCAGACAGGTCTGCTGGTAACAAATTTTCTTAGTTTTCCTTCATCTACAGATGTCTTGATTTTTCCCTTATTCCTGGAGGATATTTGCACTAGATACAGAGTTTTGAGTTGACAGTTCTTTACTTTCAGCACTTGAAAAATGTTGTGCCACTTTATTCTGGGCTACATGTTTTTGGTTGCAAAGTCTTGTCATTTGAATTTCTTTTCTTCTCTCTTGCTACTTTTAAGATAATTTTTCTTTTTTTTTTTTTTTTTTTTTTTTAAGAACTTTGATTCTAATTATCTGTGCATGGATTTTTTTTTTTTTTTTGGCATTTATTTTGTTTGAAGTTCACTAAGCTTCTTGAATCTGTAGGTTTGTGTCCTTTGCCAGCTTTAGCAAACTTTCAGGCATTATTTCGTTGAATACTCTTTTAGTCCTGTCCTCTTTTTGTCTTTCAGGAATTTTGTGACATGAATTTTAGATCTTTTGTTATAGTCCCCCAAAGTACCCAAGGCTCTGATCTTCTTCTATTGTTTTGTTTTTTGTTTTTTGTTTTTAATCTGTGTTCTCTGTTTTTCAGATTAGGCAATTTCTATTATTCTTTCATCAAATTCACTGATTTTTTTTTCTGTGTCTGCTCCATTTTACTGTTGAGTGCCCATTCATTGTTTTTAATTTCAGTTGATATACTTTTCAGTTCTTGTATTTTCATTTTGTTCTTTATGTCTTATACTTTTTTGCTGTTGACTTTTTATTTCTTATTTAGTTTAAGAATGTTTATTATTGCTTGTCAAAATATTTTTACATGGCTGCTTTAAAATCCTAGTCAGATCATTTGGGTATCTCTTTCATTTTGTTGGTATCTGTTGATTATCTTTTCATTCAAATTGAGATATTCTTGGTTCTTGGTATGATGAGTGTTCTTTGTTTTTAAATCCTCACCTGAGGATATTTTTCCATTTTTCTTCTGATAGAGTAGGAGGGGGGAATGGAGGGAGGAAGAAAGAGAAAGAGAGAAACATCAATGTGAGAGATATCGATTGGTTGTCTCCCACCTGATGTTCTCTGACAAAGCTCTAGTAGTTGGAGGGCAGGGTTGCTGCCCTGTTATGGTCAGATGGAGTGGAAGTCCAGGTTCCCTTCATGGCCTCTATTACAGCTGAGGGAGAGGGTAGTTGTAAATACTCTTAGGGTTGGGTGGGTATGAGTGTTTTGGTTTGCAAGTAGGCCTCCAGGGATAATACCCTGGTTGGGATAGGCCAGAATGCCTACTTATGCTCCCCACCTGACCTCTACTGACATTGGGGGTGGGGGGATACCTTATTACTGCTAGACAGTTGTGAAATCCCTGAGTGTTCTTTCCTCTTCCTCTGAAACTATCCTAGTAGGGCAGGGTAGGGACACCTCATTACCCTTAGATGGACATGGAAATCCAGTCTACCCACTTGCTTTCTACTGACTCTACAGGGAAAGGTGATCTTCATTACCTCTCAGCAGGGATGAAAGTCTGGCTTCCTACACAGTCTTCTCCCATGTCACCGTGGTGGGGAGACTGTAGTGCCTCATTACAGCCTCACAATGGCAGGAGTCTATCTAGGCTTCCCATTAGCCTTGCTGGCACGGAGAGGGGTTTTATCAGTTCTTTCTGTTCTGTTTGCCTGACGTAGATTGGTTATTCTCTAAAAGTTTTGTCTTGCTATACTGATGTTTTTCTGTTCCTATGGCTATAGAGAGAAACCTTTTTTGTTTGGTTGGTTTTTCTTTTTGGTTTGGGATATGAGGCCAAAAGAAAACTCACAGAAGTCACCACCTTTGTGTTCATTAGGTCTTCCCATATCTAGCTGGTCTCGCTTCTTCTCTCCAACATTCAGAATTCTATTGTGTTTGGTTTCATATAAATATTTTGGGACTTTTAGGGTTTTTTTAGTGGGATGACTATAGAAAAATACTCCATTTTTCCAGAAGTAGAAGTTTTACATTACTTTTTAAATGCTTGTTTTTTCAGTGCTATTTAGAGAGAGTACAGGGAGGAAAAGAGAGAGAGAGAAAGGAAGAAACATTGATGCGAGAGGGACACATCAATTGGATGCCTCCTGCAGGACCCCGATCGGGGCCAGGGATTGAACCTGCTACCAAGATAGGTGCCCTTGACCCGGAATTGGACCTGTGACCCTTTGGTCCACAGACCAACACTCTAACCACTGAGCCGAAATGGCCAGGGATTAATGTACATTATTTTTGGCCATTTTTTTTCTGTTGAGCTTCTTATCCCCTTGTCATAAGATCTCTTTATATAGTCTATTTAGCATAAGATCTCTTTATATAGTCTATTTAGCAATTTTGTTTGTACTTTGATTTATAGATGTTCTTTCCAAATCTATTATTTTCTCTTGATTTTTTACTCTATCTTCTATCTTTTTGTTAGCGTCTGGGTCCCTAGTTAAGATTTCCTCTTTCTTTAAGTAGTAGTAATTTTTTAGATTTCTTATTGCAAGATTTTTATTCTTTTGGTTTAAATAAAATCTCTTTTCCATGTGGGATTTATTTTTATATAGGTCCAGCTTTGTGTCCAGGTTTGTTTTTTTTTTTTTCAGATTAATATTCAATTGTGCCAGCATCATTTATTAAATCCTTTTCCCATTGAATTGAAATATCTATAGATTTTCTGTTCTCTTCCAGGATTTTGTCAGTTCCTCTGCCAATATATTAATTTTATTAAATTGTAGTACATGCAAACATACACACACAGAGATTGGTAAAGATATGATTATAAAAGGCTGTGTGTGTTTGACAGTAGTAATTAAAAAATGGAGTTGCTTCTCAATGTTAACTTGCTAATCAAAATGGGATTTAATGAAGAGGACAATTGATAACTGTCTTTTGATAACTACCCCTGACGCTGCCAGATGAATCTTGCCTTTGCAAAATATTGAAAAGGTTAATATATGCCATCTATTGAGCCAATTTTGTTCCAGGTAGTATGTTAGGTGATATATAATTTTTCTCATATCAACTTTATAAGGTTATATTTATCTCTCTTTTACAGATGAGACGATGACACTTATTCAGAGAGTTAAGTTACTTGCCCAAAATTATGTAACTATTAGGTAGTAAAGGTAGAATTAAAACACTAATGACCAGACTCTTTCAGTTGTGCCAAAATGAAATATTTCACGTAAAGTAATTTTTTCCCCAGTTTTTTCTAATTTTATTTTTCAATTACAGTTTGCATTCAGTGGTTTTTTTTTCTTAATCCTCACCCGAGTACATATTTCCATATTTTGTTCAGATAGAGTGGGAGGGAGAGAGAGAGAAAGCAACATCAACATGAAAGGGACACATCAAGTGGCTGCCTCCCGCACGACCCAACCAGGGCCGGGGACAAACCACAACCAAGATACGTGCCCTTAGCGGGAACCAAACCCGGGTCTCTATGGACCACTGGCCGATGCTCTAACCACTGAGCCAAACTGGCCAGGGCAATGGTTTTTTTTTTTATTAGTTTCAAGTGTACAGCATAGCAATTAGATAATCATATACTTCACGAAGTATTCCCCCAATATTTCAAGTATCCACCTGGCACCATGCATAGTTATTACAGTATTGTTGACTATACCCCATATGCTTTACTTTATATCCCTGTGATAACTACCAATTAGTACTTCTTAATCCCTTCACCTTTTCCACCCAGCCCCCAATGCCACTTTCTTCTGGCATCGACCAGTCTGTTCTCTGTATCTACAGTCATCCCTCGCCACTTCGCGCTTCGACTTTCACGGCCTCACTCTATCGAGGTTTACGGTATAAATCTGTTTCTATTTAGTCTGTTATATAATTGAAATCATATGGAAAGTGCTTTAAAAACTAAACATGTATACAAATTGATATGATGGTTATATCATAATCATCTCAACTTTAGCATCTGAGGGTATTTTTGTTTTGATTTTTATTTATTGATTTGAGAGGAGGAAAAAGAAAGAGAGAGAGAGAAACATAGATTTGTTCTTTCACTTATTTATGCACACATTGGTTAATTTTTGTTTGTGCCCTGACCAGGGATCAAACCTGCAACCTTGGCATATAAGGATGATGCTCTAACCAGTTGAGCTACCCAGCCAGGGCCTCTGAGCTTTATTTTAAAACAATGCAGTCGATAATGTATGCTAAAACTTATAGCTAGATATTTTTATGAAAGAACAATATTTGTGTGTTCTTTCAAGATATGGTCTGTGAATAAAATGTTAAAAATTATCTTTGTTCTTTTATTAATTGGTTCTTTTAAACATTTTTCAGAGCAGAAGAAAGTTAAAGTAAAAAAACCAAAACCTGAATTTCCTGTGTATACACATTTAGAAAATACATATATTCCATCATATGATCATGGAACTTCTATAGAAGAAATTGAGGAACAAATGGATGATTGGCTGGAAAACAGGAACAGAACACAGAAAAAACAGGTAAATAAACTTTTGAAAACTTTTTTTAATTGAGTAAAATACATACAGAAAAGTACATAAAATATAGATATATATAGCTATATATCTCAGTGAGTTCAGTGATCTACCACAAGAGAACCAAGTTAACCATTGCCATAATAATCAAGAAATAGAATATTGCTATTATTTGCAGTGGCCAATGGAAGCAACCAAAGAGTCCTTTGATAGATGATTGAATAAAGGAGATGTGGTACATACATACAGTAGAGTAATACTCAGCCATAAGAAAAGATGAAATGCTGCCATTTGCAACAACATGAATGGACCTTGAGAATATTATGCTAAGCGAAGTAAGTCAGAGTCAAGAACCATATGATTTCACTCATATGTGGGATATAAAACTGAAAGAAACAAATGAACAAATAAGACAAAAACTCATAGCCCTGGCCAGTTTGGCTCAGCGGTTAGAGCGTCGGCCTGCGGTCCTGAGAGACCCGGGTTCGGTTCCCGCTAAGGGCACGTACCTCAGTTGCAGTTTGTCCCCGGCCCTGGTCGGTTGTGCGGGTGGCAGCCACTCGATGTGTCCCTTTCACATCGATGTTTCTCGCTCTCTCTCTGTTCCTCTCTCTCCCTCCCACTCTACCTGAACAAAAAATGGAAAAATGTCCTCTGGTGAGGATAAAAAAAAAAAAAAAAATTCATAGACACAGACAACAGTATGGTGGTTACCAGAGTGAAAGGGGGTTTTGGGGATAGTAAAGGATAAGTAGGGTCAAATATATGGTGACAGAAGGAGATTTGACTTTCAGTGGTAAACACACAGTGCCATATATAGATGATGTATCACAGGACTGTACACTTGAAACCTGTATAATTTTATTAACCAATGTCACAAGAAAGGAAGGAAGGGAGGGAGGGAGGGAGGGAGGAAGGAAGGAAGGAAGGAAGGAAGGAAGGAAGGAAGGAAGGAAGGAAGGAAGGAAGGAAGGAAGGAAGGAAGGAAAAGAAGAGAAAAGAAAAGAAAAAAAGAAAAGACAAAGAAAAGAAGAAAAGAAAAGAAAACATTGCCAGTGCCTGGAGGCCTCACTCATGCTTCCTCCTGGTCATTTCTTTTCTTTTCTTCCAGTAAGATGATGACCCTGACTTCTAACATCATAGATTAGTTTTACCTGTTGTTTGGAAGTTTATAAGTGGAATCATCCTCAATCCATTCAGGCTGCCATAACAAAAATATAATAGACTGGGTAATTTAAAGAACAAACATTTATTTCTCACAGTTCTGAAGACTGGAAAGTCCAAGATCAAGGCATCAGTAGATTTGGTGTCTGGTGAGGGTACTCTTCCTAATTCATAGACAGTCTTCTTGCTGTGTGCTCATATGGCAGAAGAGGTGAGAGAGCTCTCTGGGGTGTTTTTTATAAGGGCACTATTGTGACAAATGATAAGATTTCATTCTCTTTTATGACATAGTAATATTCCACTGTATAGATATACCACCATTTCTTTTTTTTTTTAACTCATCTTTATTGTTGAATGTATTATAGATATTTCCCCCCTTTTCCCCCATTGACCCCCTCCTCCTCAGTCCTGCCCCCTCCTGCCTTCCACACTCTATTGTCGGTGTCCATTGGTTATGCATATATTCATACAAGTTCTTTGGTTTGTCTCATCCCACACTCCCTACCCCCGTTTGAGGTTCATCAGTCTAACAACCAATTTGTACTTCTTAATTCCTTCATCTTTTTTACCCATCCGCCACCCCCCACCCATCTGGCAAGCAACAAAAAAAGTTCTCTGTATCAGATGTCTGTTTCTGTTCTGCTTGCTCATTTTGTTTGTAGATGCAATTGTTGATAGATATGTATTAATTAGCATTTTATTGTTCATATTTTTGTTCTCCTCCTCCTTCAAGAAGACCCTTCAACATTTCATATAATACTGGTTTGGTGGTGATGAACTCCTTTAGCTTTTTCTTGTCTGGGAAACTCTTGATATGTCCATCGATTCTAAATGATAGCTTTGCAAGACAGAGTAATCTTGGTTGTAGGTTACTGCTTTTTATCACTTTGAATATCACTTGCCACTCCTTTCTGGCCTGCAAAGTTTCTTTTGAGAAATCAGCTGACAGTCTTATGGGAGCTCCTTTGTAGGTAATGGACTGCTTTTCTCTCACTGCTTTTATGATTCTCTCTTTGTCTTTAATCTTTGGCATTTTGATGATGATGTGTCTTGGTTTGGACCTCTTTGGGTTCACCTTGTTTGGGACCCTCTGTGCTTGCTGAACTTGTATGTCTGTTTCCTTCACCAAGTTAGGAAAGTTTTCTGTCATTATTTTTTCAAATAGGTTTTCAATATCTTGCTCTCTCTCTCTTTCTAATGGCACCCCTATAATGCAAATGTTGGCATGCGTGAAGTTGTCCCAGAGGCTCCTTACACTGTCCTCATTTGTTTGGATTCTTTTTTCTTTTTGCTGTTCTGATTGGATGTTTTCTGCTTCCTTATATTCCAAATCGATGGTTTGCTTCTTGGCTTTACCTACTCTACTATTGATTCCCTGTAAATTATTTTTTATTTCAGTTAGTGCATCCTTAATTTCTGACTGGCCCTTTTTTATGTTGTTGATGTTCTCACTAAGTTCCTCAGAGGTCTCCTTAAGTTCCTTGAAGGTCTCACTAAGTTCCTTGAATGTCTCACCACATTTCCTGAGCAACCTTATAACCTGTGTTTTAAACTCTGCATCTGTTAGATTGCTTGTCTCCATTTTGTTTAGTTCTTTTCCTAGAGTTTTATTCTTTTTTTAAATTTGGGACATGTTTCTTTGTCTCCTCCTTTTGGCTGCTTCCCTGTGATTGTTTCTATGTATTAGGTAGGGTTGCTCTGTCTCCTAGGCTTCGTAGGGTGGCCTGTTGTTGTAGGTGTCCTGTAAGATCCAGTGGCACAGCTGCCCTGATGATCCCAGCTGGGCCCACGAGGTGAAGCCCTAATGTAGACTGTATACACTTCTGTTGTAATTGAGTCTTGATTGCTGTTGGCACATCAGTGGGAGGGATTATACCACAATTTCTTTATCCATTTATCCATCAAATTTTTATATAAATAGTTTATTTAATTTTTAATTTAAAAGTATTACAGATGCCGCTCCTTTTTTACCCCGATTGACCCCACTCCACCTCCCACCCTGCCTTCACCACACTGTTGTCTGTGTCCATTGGTTATGCATATATGCAAATACGTTCTTTGGTTTATCTCATGCCACCTCCTGACCCACTTCCCTCTGAGGTTTGTCAGTCTGTTCCCTATTTTCATGTCTCTGGATCTATTTTGTTCATCAGTTTATTTTGGTCATTAGATTCCACAAAAAGTGAGATCATGTGATACTTGTCTTTCTCTGACTGGCTTATTTTAGCATAATACTCTCCAGGTCCTTCCATGCTATCTCAAAGAGATCTTTCTTTTACAGCTGCATAGTATTTCATTGTGGAAAGGTACCACAGCTTTTTTATCCACTCATCTACTGATGTACACTTGAGCTGTTTCCAGATTTTAGTTATTTTAAATAATGCTGCTATGAACATAGGGGTGCATATATTTTTTCTGATTGGTGTTTCAGGCTTCTTAGGATATATTCCTAGAAATGGGATCACTGGGTCAAATGGCAGATCAATTTTTAATTTTTTGAGGAAACATCATGTTGTTTTCCACAGTGGCTGCACCAGTCTGCATTCCCACCAGCAGTGTACTCAAGTCTCCTTTTCTCCACAACCTCACCAGCACTTATTGTTTAATGATTTGTTGATTGCAGCCATTCTGGCAGGTGTGAGGCGATACCTCCTAGTTATTTTAATTTGCATCTCTCTGATAATTGGTGACATTGAGCATTTTTTTATACATCTCTGAGCCATTTGTATGTATTCTAAATTGTATTTTTAATTTCAATTTCTTATAGCTCTTTATGAATACATGACAATACAATTCAGTTTTATATATTGATTTTTTTATCCTACAAGTTTGCAGCTTTATTAAACTCACTTATTAGTCCTAGTAGCTTTTTTATTTATATATGTGTATGTATGTATATGTGTGTGTGTGTATATGTGTGTGTGTGTGTGTGTGTGTGTGTGTATAAAAACTCCTTGGGATTTTCTACATGGATGGCTATATTACCTGCAAATAAAGACAATTTTTGTTCTTTCCAATTTGGAAAACTTACGTATTTTTCTTGTCTTTTGATTGAACACACAGCCTCTAATCCAATATTTATTTTAAGTGATTAGAGAAGACGTTTTTATTTCCTTCTTGATCTTGGAAAATATTCAGTCTTTTACCACTAAAAATTATGTTGTCCCAGGCCTTTTATCAGTTGCTCTTCATCAAGATGAGAAAAGTTCCTTCTATATCTAGTTTGGAGAGAATATTTTAAATGTTAAATTTAGTCCATTTTTTCCTGCATCTAATAGGGTGATAATATGGGGTTGTTGTTTTTTATTTGTTAATGTAGTGAATTTAATAAATTGATTTAAAAATGCTAAACTGGCCTTGCATTCCAGGGATGAACCCCACTTAGTCATTAGGTATTATCATTTCTATATGTTGTGAATTTGGTGCATATACTTGCTTAAAATTATCTCTGTGCTTATGAGGGATAGGTCTATAATTTTGTTTTATTTTAATTTTTTTCTCTTTTACATATTAAATGATGATGGCCTCACAGAATTTATTGGGAAGTGTTTCCTACTCTATTTTCTACAAGCATTTGTATAGAAATTCATCTATGTTTTTCTTGAGTTAGTGTTGGTAATTTATATCTTTGAAGGGATTAGAATATATTTCATCTAAGTTGTTGAATGGCTTGTTTATAATATTCCTTTATTATCATATTAATATCTGTAGTGATGGCTCCTCCTTCATTTGATTGGCAGTTTGTGTCTTCTGTTTTATTTCTGGTCAGTAGCAACAGAAATATATCCATTTAACTGATTTTCTTTAAATATCAGCTTTTGGTTTTATTGATTTTTCTGTAT